TTTTTTTGTTTTCTTGGCTTTCATGATTTGACGAGTGCGTGGAGGGGTATGGGGCTTTAGCTAATACGAGCTCAAAGAACTATGGAGTGTCAAAGGAATGCCCCATGCAATATCAGTGGCCCGTTACCCGTGCTTATCGATTCAGGGTTCGAAAAATGGTGGAGCCTTCTAACGGCGCATCATAACAAAGTTACGTATACGTTTGTTCGGCGAAAATTCGCACATCGACTCCTCGTACTGTAATAATATGGTGGGGGGGGAGAGGAGTTGGCAAGTTTTATTTTCCAAAGGCACAATGCGTTTATGAGAGATGCCACAGCAGAGAGCTTCAGATATTTACCACTTGGGTTTTAAGGACGATAGTCTTTCTTGGGGACCTTCGACGCAAAAATTTTGGTCTGTCTGTCTGTCTGTCTGTCTGTCTGTCTGTCTGTCTGTCTGTCTGTCTGTCCACTCTTAACGGCACCGAGTATTTGAAACGGCCGACGCCATTCGCAGCGCCCACCATTGTTGCTAATGCTTTAGCGTTCATGCTTGTGCGATTGTCAATTAAAAATCAATCATTGCGCACATCTGAGGTACCATAACAACACGTCAATGTTTTTATGTGTGCTTTTATACTAGAGAAGGCACACACAAGTAATTCTAAGGACCGTAGCGTTAAACACACTACGCTAACAGTGTGACGCGGTGCTCAAAAAGGCAAGTGTTAACAACGCTTTGCTGAAACGACACGGTGGTGGCACCTACCCGTCGCTTTGCGTTTTACACCTTATCGCATCCGAGAATGGCACGCAACTTTCTCTGCACGCGCGCCTGCCTTCCTTCGTTTTCTAAGATAACTGGCAGATTGCGCTCGCGTCTAACGTGCCTCTATGCGCTCGTTTGCCTGCGCTGCACGCTCGAGGCAGTCTAACGCAGCGCCTCCGGAATACCATTCACCGCTTTTCTTGCACAGAACATCAAATAAATGTTTTGTTCACTCTCTTCACACGCAAGACTATCGTCTTTCGACAACATTTGCAGATAACACGCACATGCGGGGCCAGTTTTTTTAATGTGCACTTAAAAATAGACACGTGGGCCTCTGGTATTTTGCTGATCAGTCAGTCTAAAACATATCGACCTAAATTCTTCATCTTTCAAATATTTTAATTGTCATTTTCTACATACGTTTATTAAATTAGCTATTGCTAGCTTATAGGAGAAGTATTGCAAAGAGAATGCTGAAAAGGTTCACATAATGCTCAGTCAATCCCCTGCATTAAGTACGAGGCATGAAAGCAAGACAAGAAGAAGAAGAAGCCATCTTCTCTGCTACATGTTCCCACCTGAGTAGCTCTACATATTGCTAAAGCTTACATGTTAAACTAATTAATTGGCTTACGTACGTGGGTTTACTAAATTACTTCGTGGCTTTGGTTTATTTCTTTTTAAAAGTTAGAGAATTTTAGTGCTCTTAGTCTGGCATCCTCAAAGTATAAACAAACTAAAGGTCTCCCCCAAGGTTTTGGTACTATCACCATCATTATTTAATGTTTTATTGTGCACGATTCCAGTACAACGTGACGTACAGGTGTATGTATACGCTGACGCGACATCCCATTTTTTGTTACAACTACAGATGTACATACACTATATCAGATGCTACAGTTTCTTATGAACGCTCTGGACACGTGGTCAGATGACATTAATATATAATAAACATCAGGAAAAGAGCAATTTTAGTTTTATCGCTAAGTGTTCCAGAGCAGATTTCAATGCTTTACAGACCGGACATTATCCCACAGATGAAATAGATTGAATACTTAGGAGTGACTTGTAGTAGAAACCTCAATTACAGTCCGCATATAGAAAATGTGGCAGCTAAAGGAGCACGGGCACTTAAGATGCTTCGTAGACTCAGCAGTAAACGATCGGCTTTACGTCGTTGTGTGCTGCTCATGACATACCGTTTGTTTATTCGCCCGCTATTGCAGGTTGGCTGTGTCTTGTTTTCTGGAGCACCCGCCCACAAAATTCAACCACTGGTACTTCTAGAACGCGAAGTGTTACGATTATGGCTTGGGCTCCCTGAATTTGTCGCAATTTTTATTTTATATAGGGAAGCGCGCCTGTTATTACTTCGGGCAAGGTTTCAAATACTGGCGGCCCGTACCTACCTAAAAATACAAGCATCCCCACAGAGGAGGTCACGGTATGTTTTCATTAATGATCCGACGTCCTTTTTTTAACCAACAGTGGTATAGATTAAGGTGCCCACAAGTCATCGTCGTACAGAAGCTCTTGGAAACATTGCAAGTAAACCTTCGTGAAGTACGACTAAGAATACCTATTCAAACATTTAAAATAGAATTTGACAGTATAGTTCAGAATAATTGCAAAAATCTTGCCAGTGGGTACCTAAGTGGCATTTCGAAAGACACTAGGCAACTTAGAAGTGTGGCAGCTTGGGCTAGTTGGTATGGCATGACGATAGTTATAGCGCAAGAACAAAACGACGACACAGAGACAAGATAGCGCTCGTGTCTTTCGTGTCCTTCTTGTCTCTGTGTCGTCGTTTTGTTCTCGCGCTATAACTATCGACACTAGGCAAGATTAGAAATAAATACCGTGATAGCAAATGATGCTTAAGTTTGCGAAGAAAAGGAAGGAGTCGGAATTGAATCTTCAGTGTTAGATTGATCTTCTTAAATTCGTTTACCTGATTTTATACCTCTTTATCAAGCGAAATTACTTGCAGTTCTCTCAGCTATATGGAAATTGTTTCAATCTTTAGCAAATGTTATCATTTTTATTTTACAGACTGCCTGTCTGCGTTTATTTCACTAACTGCGTCTAATACGTCCAACACTTTTCGAAATGTTTTGCGCTTGCCCCAATACATTTACGAGCCATTCTCTTGGTGCAGATGCCATGGCGCAAAGGTTTAACTCTCAATGAATATGCAGATGCACACGCAGTGACCTCACATAATGGTCCCGAATTTTCTATATTGCCGACGCTAGTATTTATCGCCGTGGCACACTATGAAAAAATTGTCATATCCGATCATTTTGAAAAATCTCGCTTGGCAACATCAGAGTTTTTTCATCTGAAGTGCCACTCTTGGAAAAATTGATGGTGCTCCTCTAGATTGGAGGAGATATCAATAACGAGACTACGATGCCGAATCCCCCACCCCCTCCCACTAAATTTTTATCAACACAGGTCTGGTCTGGCACAGTCTCCCCTATGCCTTCACTGCAACGAGAGTGAATCTCTGCATCATTTCTTGTTAACATACAGGTTATTTACAAATCAAAGAAAATGACTGTTAGAAAGACCTCTCCGTAGGTTTGCTTTAAATTCATCCCTTCCGGTGAACCTTTCCTTCGGAGCAACGCAAAAGGGATTTAGCCACAGGAACTTTTGCGAGGCTGTGTTCGATTTTGTAAAGGAAACAAAACGAATAGAATGTTAAGCTCAGGCTTAAATTCACTTTATTCTCAACCATAGCAGCTTGCTGAGTTTTCTTTTTTATTACTTCTATTCATTCTATATCTAATCATTGTTTACCAATCTGTATTTTCTTAAAACATACCCATCTAAACATCCCGGCTGGTAAAACATTTAGATCTCAATGATAAGGCACCGTCCGTTCTACGGCCTATTCCCCGTAGTTGGTTGTGCCAGGGTTCTCAGTAACAACCAACCAACCAACACAATCGCGTTGCATACGTCGTCGAGCTGGCGCAGTCGTCGACGAACCATGCCGAGGGAACCGGAGCCACTCACCCGGCTGCTCAGCCTGCGCAAGGCAACCGTTGCCCGCTCTCCGTTTGTTGTGATACATTCAATATGAGATTGGCAGTTTAGATGTTCATTATATATAACTCTGATGTAATGTATTAAATCCACTTGCTGGATACCGTGCTGCTTGTAAGAGATATTCTCACCAGATCGCTAATGGGAAGAACAATAATATCACAGTTATTGGTATTAGGACTGAACTGTAGGCCGTCTAGCTAATTCACTACCTCACTCAAGTACGACTGCAAAATATTGTGAAGAGGTTTTGCCTGCAACAATAGCAAAAAAAGCAATGTGGTCCGCATAAACATAAGCCTGCGGCCCAGATCGAATGAGAATAGTACACATCAAGATGTTAAATATTGCTGGTGAATGTGCTGACCCTTCAGAGACGCCTCGCCTCTGTTTTTGCTTGCAGGAAGAAAAGCCATCCTCAACGCAGTAAAACTTACTTTCTTTTAAGAATTTGGTCAGCCATGCTTCAGTAAAAGCAGGGAATCCGTTGCACCATAAATGATTTATTACAACGAATGTGTTGACACTATTGAATGTTTCATATATCTAAAAATAAATAAAGCTGCGTATTCTTTTTTTAATGCTCGGCATTGTACACATTACTTTCGTGGTCTACGTGCGCAGTCCATATTGAATGTCCAGATCTAAAGCCAATTTGACTAGGACTCAGCAGCTGTTGTTCATTAACAAATGTTATTGTATGACAATGAAGGGCCTTTTCAATAGGTTTCACAACATTTGATGTTAATGCTATTGGTCTTATATTGTCAATATTAAAGCCGGCCCACCACTTTTTAAGCAGTGATATAATTTTAGCAATCTTCCACTCATGAGCTATCCATGCCTTCTTAATCGAGCAGTTTATTAGGCTTTGGTGATCATTGGGGAATTCCTTATTATGATTAGCATTGTGTTTTTGCACTTTAATTACCATCGTGTGCGGCTTCTGTACAGTCGCGGTGCGCGCGTGCTTAGAAACAACGCTACGAAACCAGCGTACCGGCTAGTTCAACATGAAGCACAGAGGCTACCTGCGCTCTCACACTCTTCTTTTTTTCTTTTCCTTTTGTTTCATTATCTTGTGTCAGAGGTCCTACTTCTTTAGATTTCTGGTGGCCAATTCCCTGTAGTGGGTTGTGCCATTCTTCCGGTAACCATCATCATCATCACCAGGGTCAACCAACCGACCAACCATGGAGACAAACAAGCAAGCAAGATTCAAGCCTGTTACGCACGTCATTTTCGACCTCGATGGTGTGGTTTTAGGTGAGTGGTATACTTATTAGGCACTGCAGCTTGCATTTTCTTAACTCAGAACATCATTCATGTGCTGAATAAGATACTGCGTGCCAGCGGCTATTTTAAATTCCTTTGACAACTGGGAATACGTCAGCGCAGCGAACAAATATTACCTATTCCGAACTCCAGAATGTCGATAAATAAGAATTCAGCGCCCAGTAAGGTTAATCAGCGAAATTGAAACGTGCGGCTACCCTGCTTATCGCGAGCTAGAATTTACTAAAGGGTATCCTGTCCTAGCTTCTGCATTTTTACCACCACACTTAAAAGATGCGGATTTCAAACTTTCCGTTTGTTGACGTTAGTTTAAAGAATAATGAGGGCACCCAAAAGATCTTACGAGTAGTGATTCATGATGTGGCTGGTGTCATTCTGTCATTCCCAGTAATAAATGCTGCCAAAATCTGAAGAGAAACTAAGGCAGTCGCAAAGACCCTTCGAGGTAGTGTATTGCAAAATTGTTTCTTCAACACGTTTTCTGAACACTTAAACAGTGCCAGGTTTTCCCATTCGGCATTAGGCTCAAATACCTCAGAAAATGGCTTTATTAGAAAGCCCACTATCTAGATAGCGCATCTAACAACCTTTCTCTATTTGCAGCACCGAATGGCTCTAGCCATCCCCAAAAGCGCCCGCAAGTTTCAGCAGTCGAGCAGACCATATTCAATCAACATGATTTTAAGGCGAAAGCCTTTAATGTCTCATACTGGTGGTGTCCATCCGTTCATACCCTTGAATGGTGCCAGCTGTGGCCTCTCGCCGTCACACTCGATCCGCAGTTACGTCGTTGCTGAGAGTGTAAAGGAGGAAGAGAAACAAAAACAAAAAATATAACAAATAAAAACAAAAAAGAGGTGGAATAGTCACCATTGAATAGCCAGAGGCTTTCACCGAACACATTTTGAAATTTACAGTGTCCATCAGTATTCTTTATAGAATATGCGAGAACCATTAGCCAATTTGAATAATCGGTGTCACAGTGTAGTTGAGTGGCGAGAGATGGCAGGGAGCAATTAGGAACTGCAAGACAGTACAATTGAATTTCTTTTACGGACAATGATTCCCAAGCAATCATCAAACGGATTGGAAAACAAATTTAGCCTGGTGATGCTATAGCGATATACTCTTGAACATCAGAAATTATTAATTGCGTGAGAAAAGACATTTTTACTATAACAAGCGTTTTATGTCGCACATTGTGTTCGATTAGTCAACACGGCGATTCATTCATGAATAATTTCTTGGTTTTGGGGCTTAATCAACACAAGTGTAGACTAGCGTACACAGTAAAGCAGTTGCAAGTTGAAGCATGCATTATTGATCGCAGTTACTTTAGGGTATCAGTGCTTTAAAAAGGCCTTTTTTTTTTCGAACACTATCAAATCCACGACGCTTCTCTTGCTTATCGAGCAAAAGCAAGCATTCACCTCGAACAAATAAACATTCAAATAATGAGTATTTAAGCTGTCTCGTCATATGTACTGAACGTTCACTGCATTACTATTCGCTCGTAATAGTTTTACGATTCCATACTCATGCATTCGTTACAAGCAACATTGCATGTTTCATATTACTCTTAGTAGCCTGATGAAAGTGAAACTTTGGTCAATGCGCGATTAGTACTTTCTCTCTGTTCAAATGCACTTTCAGTGTTTTCAGTCGGATCACATTATATTCGAGCGCTCCTTGGGCGAGTATGGTATAGCGACCACTCTACTCCTCGCAGTACCAGCACAGAAAACAACATTTCGCACGCGGTTGACCTCTGAGCTCAGCCAATGTCTGCTCCTTTCTCGCACGTGTGTCATAGCTTCAGCGCTATATTTATCGTGGTTCGTACAGCGCCGCCCTGGCGATCGAAGCACGTAGTTCTCAGCCGCTTCCGCGGTCGGAAGCGGCTCGGTGATACGATTCTGGCGCGTAACGTCAAAGGCTCGCTAAGTTGTGGCATATTCAAATCCAGTACTGCGTAAGAATTTACCTATTGCATTTCTTTTGTTCTGAACGCTATGAATAAAAACAGAGGCCTCGTTATGCGCAGACAGACGGGCGAACAGAAAAGATTCTACTCTTGCTGTTTTGTCGCGCAGCGTCAGACTGTTCACTAAACCAAATTTTGCGTGTTTTATAGATTTGTGAATAGGGAGAGGGTGAGAGGGCTTGCAGTGGAAACCAGAGTGAATAGGCAGAACACACATGGTACTTTGTCAAGAATAAAATGATCATATGTTGCATCATACAGCATAAAAAATTCAATTGGATACCACCGCCAAGCCACTTATGCTACACCGTGCCATCAAGCATGCGATACGCATATAGTCCACATTGTTTGCAAGAAGTTACGTACAAGGAATGTTTGTCGTCGAAAAAACATGGCGACGCAGTGATGCTTGTTGAGCCATATCTGATCGAGGTTCGTAGAGTCACACCGTTTCAATCATGGTGGCGTAAATATTTCACAAACGTTCTTTTCACCGTGTTAAAGGGGCCATCTAACACTTTTCGCGACTTCATAGTTTTACGTGTTTTTCTAGCTGGTTGCGTACACTGACGGCTTAAGAGATAAGGGCCGAAAAAACGGCTTTGATAGGGCCACGCAGTGCAAAGATATTCAGCGTAGAGATATCAAAATAAAATAAAGTGGATGCTTACCCTCAACTCAATTTTCGCAGGCTCACCTTACCGTGTTTCTCTCGCACTCTGACGTCGGAAGGCTGTCCAATGAAATGAACTGAAAGCCCTACCGTACAGGAAGCTAGCATGACATATTGCCTGTTACGTCCTGCGTAATAAGGTGTCGCTGGTGTCACACCGTGATGCATACAGTTACGCGGCTCAGTTTCATCTTCTTTTCTCTCTTTCAAGAATCACCCACAGCGTAATAAGGATGCCATTGCTATGGTAACAAACAAGGCGGTACTTGAAGAGGGAACGACACGTGCGAAACGAGCCAGCTCGCGAACGCTTCTGTATTGTTTTGTAGCTTTACGGATATTTATTTTTCCAATTACGTGTATATATGAACGCTCTTACGTAGTTTTGCATTTTATTTTTTCCATTAATGGCGCCAGCGTCTCCAGCGCGTTTTCTTCAGCACACTGCGTTCGGCGCATCCTTTGACCAGCTGGGCAGTTTTCAAGTTGGAAAGGTCGAAGAGCTTTATTCTCTATCGCACTGAGGGGAAAATTATGCTAATTAAAAGAAAACACACAGTAATTCCTATTTTGATGCAGTTCTGTGATGAAATTTAACGTTACATTTATTCAATCATGTGGCGGCAACCTTCAGAAGTCACTTCCGCTCGCCGTAGTCCTGGCGAGCGCCACAACGAGTTATGCAGTCGGCACCGATGTGTTTAAGCTTTAGAGAGCCCCTTTAGGCTGTGTGACCCTGACTTACGACGCACGTGGTTGGCATAGCGAGAGCTAAGCCCCCCAAAGCACGTAGCAAAATACCGTCTAACATAACGAGTAAAACAGAAAAAAAATACTCGGATGCTGCGCCGAGTGAGCGAAGGCAACATGTGACGAAGCCCGGATGTACTTGAACGCGGATACAAGAAGATCACTCTCGCTGTTATTCCTCAGTATACACACTCAAAACGCGAAAATCGCCATGTAATCTCTTCTTTTCTATGCTCCTATAAATCCATCACTTGGAGAAAAACAGAGCTAACCTACATGGTTCATAAGTTCTGTTACATGATGTTTCACCGAAGACGCGTGTTTCACCGAAGACGCCTATGGCGCCCAGTAGGGTCGCACGGTCGTTTAGGAGCCCGAAAAAGGTGAGGTTTAAAACGGGCATCATTAACTATAGGCTGGATATAGAACCGAAATACGTCAAAATTGACATGCCGAATATCTACTGAAGCAGGGAAAATTAGAACCGGACAGCTTTATTTTCGGTTCACGACCGCTTTAGGCTTTGTCGTCCTCCATGGTTATTGTCTTAGCTCTGAAGAGCTCTCTCATTTTAAAGGTATTCACGGAGATACCAAGGAAGGCATCCGCATGGTGTTCAAGGTAAAGCACCGGATGCCTAACCTATTACGAGCGTGCCAGCGTTACCTTACGTACAGAACCCAAAAGATGCGCTCCCGAGAGAGGGCACATCCGCTTCTCTTCACCTACAACTTGTAAACAAAATGCGTACATCGTGCTGCTGCTAGTCAATCGACAATCTTGATTTAACCATTCTACCACGCTATTTTTGTTGGCACATTAAATTTAATGGCACCATCTCCAACCAGCAAAACTCTTATAAGCTGTTAAAGGATGGGCTAATTACCCCAAAGTTGCAAACGGGCTGCGCGATGTTTTGTAGTGGAGTACTCGCTGTTATTGTTCATTTGCTGCTGTTATGTTTTTGTTTTTTTAATTCAGACACAAAAACACACAGATGTGTCTCTAAGAATATAGCATTCACTGAAATGGCTCGCTGCAGAAGTAGCAGCGACATTTTATACATTGTTCTCTGCACCAGAACGTTCTCACTCAATTTATCTTCACTGGCAGAATGAAACTTCAAGTTGTGCCTTACGCGATTATGAGCAGTGCACTAACGCTTCATCAATACGCTTATGCTATAAAGTATTGTTATTATACATTTCAGCTATGTGTTGCTTCGGAAACTACTTATTTATTGCAAAGGAGTTCGACGGAGACCCGAAAGCGGGCGGGAGGGTTAAGAAAGTGAAAATACACTACCACCCGTTAGTAGCACGAAGCCACAAGGAAATCCGTGTGGATTGCTCAGAAAGACAGTCCTCTTAGTTGCCGCGAAATTCGTTCAGGTCCAGGGACCGAAACAGCAAGAAACGCCTTTCCGGATAAATGCCTTTCCGGGGTGGTTGCTTTACTAATTGAGCTCACCAGGAAGCACGATTCACAGCGCGAGGGCGATTTTATCGACAACTCGAAGCACGTGGATACAAGTAGTGCGATTGAGGTCTGTGGAGACCGGCAAGGTGGTAGAAGCGATAAGAAAGGGAAAGTAGAAAACCACCCGTTAGTGCATGGTTGTGTATTGTTACTGTATTTCTTCTCATACTATTTATTCTTATAGTGTGGTCACTGTTCGCCTTTCGTACCTGGAGGTTTAAACATGTTGTGTTTGCCCTCTGTGCAGCGTCTCAATTTAGTTTCATTACTATTCATCATTCATCTGTAAATCCATGCCCGTCAGCGGAACATGGAACTGTTTATTTAGTCTATAGCATATCATCACACCGTTGTTGTTGTTTCTTACCACTACTCTTTTGTGTGCATGTGACGAGCTCAACTTTCTCAAATGTATTACAGCGAGCACGATTCTTCATTGATCATCTTCACCAAATCAAGTCTCTCTTTTTTTATTCCAGTTCCTTTAGGTAATATACTATCAAGTGAGGAAGCTATTTAACGTGCCCCTAAGTAAATTTCGCACATCTTTCGTCTCGAAGACGCAGACAAGGTGTACACAGCCGCCGTGGAAGAAGTGGCCGGACGGTACGGAAAGACGTACACGTGGGAGCTGAAGAAGAGAGTGATGGGAATGCCAGATGCCGATGCAGCCCGGATCGTCATTGACACACTGGGGCTACCGGTCAGTCAGGACTACTACTTGTACGAACTGGACCGCTTGTACAAAAATTCACTACCCAACTCGAAGGTCATGCCCGGTGAGTCTCCTCAAACAAAAAGTCATCAGCTTTTCTTTTCTACACATACGTTACCGAATCCTGCGCATTAAAGTTAGGTAGCATTGATCTCGATAAATTACCACGCTTGAGGATATAGACCTTAATGATTGTTTCTAATGTGTCCGGTGGCTGTACTCGATGTCCATCTATTTATGCAATAAAATTTTGTTTAGAAAAACTTGTCTAGAATTGCGCCTTTGGACGGAGCAGCCGGGCTCGTCAAATCATTTCCGGCAATGCTGATTTAAACCGCCTCCGGAGCTTGGGCAACAGATACCACGCAATTTAGGGCACATTTATAATGGTGAGAAGTTATCTACGTGCACACTTGCTAGCTTGTATACAGCTCCACAGATATCAGTAGAGTTACTCACTGTGAACTCGGTAGGGCTCCCGTAGTAGCTCAAGCTTACACGTTCCCAGGGTTTGGCCTTTATATATGCTTGATGCGATGAGAGACACGCCATTAGTTGTTCATCGTAAGCCTGGCCAGGGTTGCCGCTGAATTTTGAGTGAGGTTCGTCAAACGGCGAGCAAAATGACGCCAAAAGTCGCCATTTTTCTTGAAATTTCGCCAAGAAATTTGTCCCAGTACATAGGTCTGGCGTGCCTAGGGATAAAAATTGAAAATCATGTATAGCCCCGTAAAGTATGTTGCCACTTAAAAGCTTCAGTCGTATCACTCGCTTCACCAAGGGAGTAATTAGAAAGGACATGCATGCACTAGCAGCATTTGTGAATCTAGCGCCTCATAACAAAGTTTTGTGACGAATACAGGATGAAGCAGTCGCTACAAGAGAGCGCCAGCGTGCGTAGCCTAGCTGCATATTTCGAGAATTACGCTGCAGTGTAATTACACGTATGATAAGCAAAGAACCTAATTACGAAGCTGCCGAAGGATATTCAAAAGCAATGCGAAGCTATTTCAATGCCCGCACCACGCTTTCTGTGTGGCCACGCTTGCGCTGTACATTCGCCGCACTATATAGTTTCTGAACTATGCCCAAAGAAGCCCGACTCCTTGGGTCACCTGAAAAGTATAATAAAAAAGTTATACTCAACATACTAAATTAAAGGGTGCCGCAGCAGTGAAAAAGTCGACAAGCTATTCACGACAGTTGAAGCTGCGTTGGGTAGGCAAGGCCTATATCCATCAAATAGCCACTTCAGAAGCGAAACATTTGAAACGCATGTGTCCATTCCAATGCTGGCAATGAGCAGCCGAAGGGCTGAGCGTTCTTTGTCAGTGTTAGTGTCATAATGCAGTACTTATCTTATCCACTCTCTTGAGCGAGAAGCGAATAGTGCGGGTAGAGAGCAAAGGAGTGTGAGAAGCACAAGGAGTGTCAAAGGTGTGATCTCGGTAGCTGCCGATGGCTCAGTTGGCTGAGCACGTGGTGCCTATTGGCACGGCTTGATAGGTCGTTGGTTTGATGCTCGCGTGTCCTTATTTCCAAATTTTCTTTTTTCTGGTTCACTTTTTTTGATGCTGCACAGGTTTAACAACGACATATGCTTGACGGAAATACGTCAGTTAGGACTTGGTGGACCCCATCATGCAACACTTTCATGTTGATATATCCTGACGGTGCATCAGGATATATCAACAAGTAGTATATATATATATATATATATATATATATATATATATATATATATATATATATATATATATATATATATATATATATATATATATATATATATATATATATTTATATATATATATATATATATATATATATATTTACCTTCTCTAATGGTAGGTACAATTCAACTGAAAAATCCCGAATTTCGACAGCATTACCAAACGTACAATTCACTTTACCACCAGGCGCCGAGCAGCTGATACGCCACCTCCATGCGCACGGCGTTCCTATCGCGGCCAACACCAGCTCCATGCCACTTTCTTTCGGGCTCAAGATGACGCACCACGGAGATGTCTTGTCACTCTTCAACCATGCGTTCATATCAGGTGGTGATCCGGAGCTGAAACATGGCAAGCCAAACCCCGACATCTTCCTCATCTCAGTGTCCAAATTTCATGACCATCCAGCCCCCGAAAAGGTAATGTCACGGTGTAAAATATGACTTAGTATGTCAATGACGAAGTGCTAGGTGGAACGCACTTGTACTGCAGCAGCGTTGTATGCTCTTGCTCGCAATTATGTCCCATAAACCTGAAGGATAAGAAAGGGAGCTCAACCTAATTTGAGGGCGACGTTTCGAGGAACAGAAAGTAAATAAATTGGGGTAACTCTAAGGAACAAGAAGAAAGCGGAGTGTATAGGAGAACGAAGGGTGTTAAGGAAACCGTAGTGGAAATTAAGATGAAAAAATGGTCATGGGCAGGGCACTTGGCGTGAAGGCAAGATAACCTCTGGTCATTAACGGGGCACTGACACAAAGCCTCTGTGGTCTATTCCCAGAAGCATTTGTATCCCATCCGCAAAATGTCAACTGCGAATATTGCTGGGCAGGTATTTTAAAATAATTTTGAAGTTTGCGTGAGCCCTCAACACTGTCGTGCCATTAACACCATAAAAAGGGACCCTTTGGGTACCGCCTACTACCCTCACGTCACCACGCTGCAGTTAACAAAACTAGTTATGATGATGTCATAGCCGCCATTTTTCTTTGGCCACGTTTGTTTCCGCAGTCTTTATTTTTCGGACGCTGCTTGCGAGTGCGTGCCCATGGCGCACGCTTAGAAAATTTTGTTTTTAGTGACATTGGAGTCCCGTTTCCTATTCGAAAGCAATTCTTGATGCGTACCGTGCGAAACTGTGTCACATTTCTGTGTGGTGACGTAGTCAAAAGCTGCACACGCTAGGTGGCGACAGTTGCACCCAGTTTTTGGAGCTCTTTCAAATCGAAACTGACACTGATCGATAATGAAGGGCCTGTAAATAATTATCTGCTGCAAACGATGTGTCCTGTCATGACTAAGAGGCTCCAAGCAACACATTGCAGCAGAAAAACATGACGGCAAAGTTTTAGCAGCAAGCTGGCAAGTTGCGCCAGTTGGATTACAATCACAATTGAAAATTTTGTTAAAGCGCACTAAAAACGGGTGGACAGAAGAGGCTGACAAGGACAGCACTTGTTCTAACACTTATCCCGACACCTAGTACTTGTAAAATATAACAAATGATAAATATTATATACAATTTTTTTGTAATCCTGACAAGAGTGGTTTCTGTTGCACCTTGTTCTGATGCACATGCGCAAAAGACCATGTATCCGCTTTGAATACCTTTTCTGATTAATAAACCATCAGTTCTGAGAGCAAGCGCTGTCCTTATGAGCCTCTTCTGTCCGTCCGTTTTTTAGTGCGCTTCAACAAAATTTTTAATTATGCCAAAGTTTGGTTTCAGCAGCCCTTTAAGGATCACAGACTGGATTCCAAGATAAGGCAAGCGGGCGAAGGGGAGAGACAAAGTTAAGTGAGCAGATGAGGTTAGACGTTTGTGGGTATGAAGTTGCAGCAACAAGAACAGGACCGAGTTTAGTGGCACACATCGGAAAGGCCTTTGTTCTACAGTGGGTATAATCAGGATGATGGTGATGATAATGATAATGATGTTGATGTTGATGATGATGATGATAATAATAATATTCCCGTCATGTCCTTGGTGGAGGTGCTAAGCTGCTTGGTCAGTCATCTTAGTAGCTTCGATGCACCGTCCGCAGCGAAGATATACCTCTTGGGGTTGTAGTGAGTCGTACCCTGTGAAATGCTGCAGCATACACTGACTTCTAACGAACAGCAAATTTTTTCCGTCCACACAGCTGTCTAACATATTGTCATGTTTACATCAACTTCAGTAAAAAAAGGCGTTGCGTCAATACAAGTAGAGAACGCATCGATGTAATTCATGCGTTTCGGTTTCTCTAGCTTTATAACTTGTCGATGGCTCATCAAGCGAAAAAATTTATGACGTCATCGGCGTAACACGTTGGCGGTGCCTTTGAGGCAAATTTAACCCGAGTTATGACAAGATCATCACCACGTAATTACGTCACACGGAACGTCATCCTGACGTCATAGACCACCATGTATTCTGACGCCATCTTCATTTCATATAGCACCAAAACGCCTTTTTCTAACGATGTCAATATTACATAAGAAATCATCATTTAGTCATAGATGACCTAGTCACAAAGACAATGCAAAACAAGGCAAGGTGCACAAAGCGCTTCCGTTCGTAATTGAAAGGTGGAGGACTAATATAACGATTAAGAAGCAGACAGCTTCCAGCATCGAATTGTCTAACGAGAATGCATAAAGACCCCGTGCAATTTTCTAAGCGCTCAGTGCTACACGCGTCTATTTTATGGTATTGTTCACCATAATATCTTGTTAATGTTCTTGTTATATCTTGTGGGCGAAATAAGGTTCTGGTATTTGAAGACACGCCCGCTGGTGTGACGGCTGCCCTGGACGCCGGAATGCAAGTCGTGATGGTGCCAGACCGTCGGATGGACCAAGAAAACCGAAATAGGGCAACCCTGTGCATTGATTCGCTCACGAACTTCAAACCAGAGCTATTCGGACTGCCACCCTATCCGGCAGCGGCTAAAAAAAGTGAGAACGGACTTCTTTTCGAGCTCTGTCAATGCATAACAATATATTTGCGAAAAAATTGATGAATTGGCTACTCACACAAAGAACAAAGAAATCCATCTTTAGGGCCACAAAAGAGCTGTGTCGCTCCACAAAAAGTTTTGTCCGCATCGCCGATCATTTAATACTCGCCAGCTCAAGCATCTCAAGAAAAACCGGGATTTTTCAAAATTAAAAGTATATGTGCATCCCGCCTATGCAACGTATCTGACGTTTTGATGGAACAGCTAGAAACTCAATGACATTAGGACTGGGGCCATAGCACGAGAAGGTTCATTCGCACGACGAATGCGATCGTGGACAGATAAGTCACGTGACATGAAACGTGATTCTGATCCCTCCGCAGCCAGAATTTACTCGACAGGGAATAATCAACGCTACAAGCGAATGCCAAGTGCCGTCGTTTCACAAATATTTCCGCACTGACTGAAGTGGAGACGCGAGAAAGGGTGCCGTATGGTGACGTAGTAAGCAATCCCCGGGGTCGAATCGTGATTTCATCCGTCGTCTGGATACAGCCGAACAAAAAAAAAAACCAAGGAAGAGGACAGGT